CACAGGCCCTGCACAAACGGGCCTCGGGCGGGATTTGGCTCCCAGGGCTGGTTCCCTGACCCCAGAATAGAATACACTACAGAATGTCAATTACAGGTAAATACCAGCTCTCAAAGTCTGCTCTGCGGTGGGAGCTCCATTATCTGGATTTCTTGTCTTTTCCTTTTTGTCTTGTTCCTTTAATTGTCCTATGATTGCATTTGCCATTACTATTGTTTCAGTTACCATGGCTACAGAACAAATTACCCCTCAAATTAAGGGCTTAAAACAAGTATGACATAGGTTTTGACTTAAAAATACATATATGTAATTTGTGTAGGGCCCTGATCCGCAGGTCCACCTGCGTGCGGCTCAGCAGAGATCTTTCTGGGATCTGACCCGAGGCTTCACAATTGCATCCTTGGCTTTCTCTTTAGACCATGTTTTCCCAGAAGACTTTTCTTAATTGTAACATCGTCTGTCATCTGGAGAAGCTGGCAATGGGGAACAGTTTTACTGCTGAATATTCACCAAGTCCTGGCTCCTTTATAATTAACCATTCTTTCCTTAGTGTGTCTGTCTCTCGTAGTGTGTCCCTCTCGTGTCTCATTTTACCGTAGGCATCTAGGAAAAGCCAGGCGACACCTTCAGAACATTGCCCGGAAACGTCTTTCGCCGAATCTCCAAATTCATTAGGTGCATTTTCTCTGTTTTCACATTTACCATAGTAACAGTCCTGCTAAGCTTTCTGCCATTAGATAATAATGCTTTCCTTTCCTCCAGCCTTTTCAAAAAGGATTTTATTAAAACCTACAGCCAATGTGGGGCTTGAACTTGCAACCCTGAGACCAAAACTCACGTGCTTTACTGAGTGTGCCAGCCGGGCGCCCTTCTCCGGGCTCATTTTTCCTCACCCTCCTTGAAACGTCCCTGACTCTGGGATCGCAAGTTCTGCCAAGTTCTGCCGGCACAACACCACGTGATTTCTCTGGTCTTTAGTGAGCCACGGCTGTGTCCCCCACAGCAAGGCTGGATCTTAGCTAGGGGTGCGGAGGGGCAGAGGGCTCACCCTTCCAGGCTTTATCTCGGCCCTCTCTTCCGGCCGTGCTTTTTCAGCCCTAGGGGTGGTGACTGCTCCCTGGGTCGCTCTTCTTAAAGTCTTCCCAGTTCTCTTTACTTGTTCCTAGCCAATTCCTTGTTCCTCCGACCCTCCCTTTAGTTAACAATTCTTGACATTAAAACTTGCCCTGTTCGTTATAAGATAAACAAGTTCTGGGGATATCGTGTAAAACATGTCAACCATAGTTAGCACTACTGAAATATGTACTTGAAAATTGCTGAGAGAGTGGATCTTAAAAGTCTTCATCACAAGGAAAAAATTGTCACAATGCGAGGTGACAGATGTTGGCTCAGGTTGCTGTGGTGATCGTTTTGCAACACGTTCCTATATCAGATCCTCACGTTGCCCATCTTAAACTTACAGTGTTCTAGGTCAATCATATCTCAATACAACCTGAAAAATAAGTAAATAAATAAACAACCAAACACCTTTTCCTGTCAAATTACTGTGCGGTGTCTCTCTCCTGATTGGACGGATGCCCCCGACCTATTGCCACGTAAAAAATCACATTAAAACGTGATGACTTAACTGACACAACAGCTCTCATTTACTCTCTCCCAGACTTGGTTGGGAATCTGGGCAGAGCGCCGAGGACACGGCTTGTCTCTGCTCCTGGTTTCGGGAGACCCCACTGGAGGACTGTGAGGCTGGGGGCAGGAAATCATGCGAAGGACCATTTCCCCGCGTGTCAGGCAGCCGCTGCTGGTGCGGGCTGGAGACCTCAGTTCCCCCCTGCAGGGTCTCCTGTGGCCCAGGTCGGGCTTCCTGGCAGCGTGGTGGCTGGGTTCTGAGGACAAATGTCCTGAGATAAGCCTGTTGGAAGCGGTGGTGAGCTAACACTGGGAGCCCAGCAGCATCGGTTCCAAGCATCGCAGATCTACCTAGATCCAATGCGATGCAACACAGTCCCCCACCCTCGGGCGGAAATGTGTCAAAATCGCATTAAAGGAAAAACCCGTGGCATGCCATCTCTCGGTAGGGCCATCTTTGGAAAATACCATCTGTCACAGGCGTTCTTACGGCTGCACTCAGAAGCCTCTACTATTTCAGATTTCACTTATCCAATTTCCCCTGAACTGGTAAGGAAAAAATGGGTAAAATACAATGTAACAAAGAGGTGTCAGGAAATGTACGATCCACGAGTTCATGACATACTGACTGTGCTGTGAGGAATCCATCTATGAAAGACAGTTGGATTATGGCATATTTTCTGCTGCAATTCCATATGACGGGACATTCAAAATAATATCTACTTTCAAGTATCTCCGATATTTTAAACCTGTATGCAGAAGTTTTCATTCCACAGAAAATATATACATAGACCTCAAACCGGTATAGGCCGAGTGCAAAAATTCAACATATGCATACATTAAGATATGCACTTAATTTTCGATAGTGTTGTCACTGCCGTGCTGAAACATAATCACATTAAAAAGAGTCAAATCTACAAATAATAACCCACCTTTTAAAAAAGGTATTTCCCACGCAGCTTTAGAGTAATAGATGAAGAAATCACAGATTTAAAAGTGATGTCTTACAAATTTAAATGTGCTGTATGGATCTAGACCCTTGCGGTCTGATTACAGGAACCTGTCGATACTCCTGTTTGTCGGAATTTTAAAGTGCTTCTCTCTTTCACGGCTTAGTCCCAGAACGGTAGTTGCACCAAGGTTACTTCGTTTCCTTCCTGGCTATTTCATTTTCACCGTCAGCTGGTGTTTTTCCAGCCACGAAGGCAAACATGTTTCAGACTAGCTGCTGCCGCCCAAGGTGGGTCATTTTTACTGAAAAGCACCCGAGAGCCGTGGAGAAAGGAGGGGCAGGACTGTCCTGCAGCGCCCAAGCGACCCCGCAGGGCGGAAGACAGCGCTGGTGAGTGAACCGGGAAGCGAGATGAAAGGTTAAGGGCGGCTCGGGCGCCGTACTCCGCCGCGGTCGCGTCTCTGGGTTCCGAACCCGCGCCTCGCCCAGTCTCTCCGCAAGACGCCGCGGGCGCTGAGCCCCGGGGCACGCGCGGAAGCACCTCAAGTAGCAGATTTGGCAAGTGTCGCGCCGCGGTGTCAGGATGGCCGAGTGGTCTAAGGCGCCAGACTCAAGCTTCCGCTTCCCGCTCTGGGGCTTCTGGTCTCCGCATGGAGGCGTGGGTTCGAATCCCACTTCTGACACTTCCGTTTTGTTCCTCTCTCCGTGGATTCAAAATTCTCCCCCGTAACCGCCTGCGACTAACTAACCGGCCACAAAGAGAGTACGGGGGTGTTTTCACGGACATTTGGACGCAACCCCTTCCCTCTTCCCAGAAACTGGAACCGCGTGCGCGGGTGGGCGAGTCATCCGCAGGCGGGAGGGGTTTTTACTGAGGAGAGAATTACTGAACCCGCGAGCGGAAAAGCACCTGTTCCAAAGTTGCGTCCCGAAGTCTGCAGTGCCGCCTGTGAACTCTGAGAGCGAAAACCTTTAAGTCAGCAATCGCGGAGAAGTGGCCTCGCTGTGCAAATACGCTCACTAACAGTAAGAGCTCCCTGTGAGATTTTATCTCAGGGTTATGTGATTTATGTGATTCATTTTTTGAAGGTAAAAAAAAAATGCATTCTATGAAGTTCTGCGTAGGCTAACATCTTGGTCTGAAACTTCAGATCTTAGATGTTTGCAGCTTTGCTATTGAATACGAGTTTGTCCCCCTGTTACTGAATTACTATCCAGCAACTTCTCCGGCAGGGATGTGTCTCGGTGGGATTCCAGCTCAGCTCCACCGCTGGCCTTGCCTAGGAAAGTCATTGTAGTAGTTTTTTTTCTGTGTTCAAAATAGAGAGATATCTGACACACAATATTGTGTAAGCTCAATATCGTGTAACACTTAAGGTGTACAACAGAGTTCTTAGCTGGCCACATAATTATCATTTCTTCTAGTGCTGACAACAATCAGCATCTCGGTTCTTGACAAGTTTAATGTTCATAACACAGTTTTGTTGTTTATAATCACTGTGCTGTCTTTTAGGGTTCCAGGACTCATTTATCTACTAGTTGCAAATATACACCCTAGAGTATCTCTCCCACCCACCCCCACCCCCAGCTCCTGGATTCCACCACTCCACTCTCTGCTGACACAATTTTGTTTTTAATTCCACATACCTCCTATATGCAGTATTTGTCTTTCTCTCTCTGACTCATGTCACTTAGCATAATATACTCAGGGTCTATCCATGTTGATTCAAATGGCAGAATTTCCCTTTTTTTCTCCTGGCTGAATACTCTTCTATTATATACGTATAGATATGTATCTCTCACATCTTGATCCATTCATGCATTGACAGACAAAGGTCACTTCCATATCTGGGCTATTATGCATAATACTGCACTAAACATGGGAGTGCCTATGTCTCTTCAATGCTGCTTTTATTTCCTTTGAATAAATACCCAGAAGTGGCATTTCTGTGTCATATGAGAGTTCTATTTTTATTTATTTCTTTTTTTGAGGAAACTCCACCCTGTTTCCGGCAGCGGCCGTCCCCGTTTGCACCCCCACCAGCAGTGAGCCAGGGCCCCCTTTTCTCCACATCCTTCCTTCAACAGCCTCTTCCTGAGGCTGGCTATTCTAACAGGTGTGAGGTGATATCTCATTGTGGGTTGGATTCGTATTTCCCTGACAGCTAGTGATGTTGAGAACCTTTTCATTTGCCTGTCGTCCATTCGGACGTCGTCTTTGGGCAAATGTCTGTTTAGTTCCTCCGCCCATTTTTAAATCAGATCGGTTGCTACTTTGTTATTAAGTTGTATGAATTCTTTACAAACTTTGAATATTAACTTCTTACCCAGTACACGGCTTGCAAAATTTTCCTCCCATTCTGAGTGAGCCCTGGGACCAAAGGGTGATGATGAGTGAGGCAAGAACCAAAACGAGCGCTGTCAGGAGTGGGATTCGAACCCACGCCTCCACGCGGAGACCAGAAGCCCCAGAGCGGGAAGCGGAAGCTTGAGTCTGGCGCCTTAGACCACTCGGCCATCCTGACGAACCGTGCGGCCTTGGGGGGTAAGTACCATTAATGACCGAGGCCCTTCCGTGCAGGAAGGGGGCGGGGTTCTGTTTCCAGAAGGTACGG